AAGAAAGAAAGAAAGAAAGAAAGAAAGAAAGAAAGAAAGAAAGAAAGAAAGAAAGAAAGAAAGAAAGAAAAGAAATAAAAAGAAAGAAAAGAAAGAAAAGAAAGAAAGGAAGAAAGAAAAAGGAAGGAAGGAAGGAAGGCAGGCCCTGGCACAGGTTGCCCAGAGAAGCTGTGGCTGCCCCATCCCTGCAAGTGTCCAGGGCCAGGTTGGACTTTGAACAGCCTGGGATAGTGGGAAGGTTTGGGACTTGATGGCCTTCCAACCCAAACTGTTGTATGATTCTGTGGAGGAAGGACCTTTCCTGAGCTCTAGGCAGGACTTGGCCTCCTGGGGACATGATTCTCAGGATGCTGCAACCCAGGGCCCCCAGTACCAGCGTGCTCTGCCTGGCTGGGCTGTACCTCTGTGAATCACAGGAACACCATGAGAAGGATTAAGGACAGCTGGGACCATACCTGGGGTTTAAGTGGGGGAGGGAGGAACAGGAGCAATGCTGGCTGTGCTGAAACCCCTGGCCGAGCTCAGGGCTTAATGCTAGCCCAAGGCATGGGGAAGCATGAGATTGTGGAGAGATTCCTTTCCTCTGTCTGCTGGGCACCCTGTGAGGGATGCCCCAGCTGAGGCAGTTTCTCAGCACACAGCCAGAGCAGATCAAAGCCTGCTGCAGCCCTGACATGGGGGGAGGCCGGCATGGGGTTTGGCAGTAACACAGGCCATGGTTCAGCAGAGCCCCAGCACTGCTCAGGGAGTCAGTGCACAGAGGATGGGGAGAACTCACACAGTGGCCAGGTAAGTGTGGAACAGATGGAGCTGGGAGAAATTGAGATCAAAAGGCAGGAAACCTGCTTAACTGATCATAATCTGCATCAGACAGCTGAGCTGGAAGAACTCCCAGCACCTGATGGGGAATTTGGGAGGAGGTGACAAGAGCCCTGGCCCAGCTGTGATCCTGCTGCTGCTCCTGCATGCCTTGGGAGACCCTCGTGCAGCCCTCGGCCTGAGCCTGCACTAAGAGCTCTCCTCTGGAGAGCAAACTGAAAGCATGAGGAAAATGGTGTGTGTCCTGCTGTCCAGGGAGTGCACAAAAACTGTCCAGGTGCAGTTTGCAAGTCTTCAACTTCTCCTGCCTGATGGCAGTGGGTGAGGAAAGACTTGAGGAGGGGGATGCTGAATAAAGCCTGGCTCACAACTCAAACCTCTATCTGTGTCTCCAGAGACATTAAAGGACACAGTGTTACCCCAGATTACCTGAGAAGGCACTGACCTGCAGGGAGCTTGCAGAAGCTCCATAGCCTCTCCTGAGCATCATGCAGGAGTCCCACGGGGAACACAATTCTCCCCCAAAGCACCTGGCTGGGCAGGGTGGGGCATGAGGAAGGGCTCACCTGGCACTGGGAACAGGGGGATTTCTCTGCCAGGATGATCAGAATGCAGTAGGTGAAAAGACATTACTTGAGATCTGCTTCTTTTCCTGCTGCTGGGCCAGGAAGCAGATTTGTTCCTGGTGCTAAGGGAGGGAAGTGGACAGGGAAGACCATTAGGCAGTGATTAATTTCGGGGACCCATGGAGCGGTGAAGGGACAGGTCATGAACAGAGCCCTGAGCCAGGGAAGCTCAGGGAGCCCAGGCAAGCTCAGACCAATTCAGCAGGAAGATTGACCTTTTTTTCCCTGGATCTCACACTGGGTCATGTCAGGGCTGATGACATGGGCTGGCACAGACTGGGGAGGTCCCACCTCCTTCCCAGCCCTCACTACCCAAGGGGGTACCCATCAGCCAAGGGCAGCTTTGAATAGCTCTTCAAAATACTTCACAGAATATTTCCATCTCCATGCTTTACAACAAAATGTTTTTCCATCTTCTATTTTTCCCCCTGGATTTATCAGTTAAAAAGACAACCTAATGAAATCCAAATATTATTTTGTTCTGATTTCAAAGGAATTCAAAATCCCCACCCTCATGTAACAGAAGGCAATTGGGAACACATCACTCGCAAACTGCGCTTGGGAATCTCCCCTGCTAGGGAGTGGGGAGGTTCAGGTTGGATACTGGGGAAAATTTCTTCCCTGAAAGAGTGGTCAGGCACTGGCACAGCTGCCCAGGGAGGTGCTGGACTCACCATTCCTGGAGGTGTTCAAGAAACAACTGTACATGGCAATTCATTATACAGTTTAGTGGGCACAGTGGGGTTTGATGAGGGGCTGGACTTGATTATCTTGGAGATCTTTTCCAACCTTAATAATTCTATGATTCTACCTTCAGGCTGTTCAGAAGGTTTTGGCTAAAGGTGGAGAGGAAAGCAAGCTGTGGAACGCTGTTAGCTGACCGTGTACCAAGCTATCAAGGTGTGTTTTTATCAAGAAGAGCTTCATGGTGCATGTTTGGAGCAAGCCCAGCCCTGCCCACAAAGGATGCACAGCCAGGACAGAGGCTCCGTTTATTTCAGGGTAGTTCCAGCAGCGCTGTGTCTAACGGGGTGAACATTTGTGTGCAGCTGAAAGGCAAACCACGCTCCTGGCATCTACCAGCTGCAGTTCCTCTGCACTGCTTGCTCTTCTGGTCCAGGATCTTGCACCTCTCACAAGCCAAAGCTTCTTTCTATGGATGGAATCTGTCTGGAGCCAGCAGCAGTGGCTACCTCGAGCACCCACTGCACCACCTCACCTTGCTCATGCCCATGGTCCAAAGGCACAGTCCCTGTGGGCTGGCTCAGCTGTACTCATCCCCAGGGATGTTCACACTGCTGCTCTGTGGCCTGGCAGCATCAGGAGAGGTTTTGGTGAAGGTGTCCCCGAGGCTGGTGCAGGAGAGGTCAGAGCAGGGAGCCACAAGCCCGGTGGGAGCCCTGCACTAGCAGCCTCCCCCCTCTGGCAGCTGGGAGGCGTAGAGAGCTAGTGTGTGATGGAGGAACTGGTACTGCTCGCTCGTCTGGATCATCCCACCTCTGCAAGGGAAAGGCAGGGCCCACTGACACTTCACCAAACACACAGCCCTGTCCCCAGCTCCTGCTCCCAGGGCACAAATATTCCCACTGTGTCACCAGCCATGTCAAGGTACCTCTGAAACAGGCACCAGAGCAGCTCAAAGAATAGAGGGGTTCAGAAGCATTGCTGAGCTGTTCAAACGGAGATTAGCACCTGATTTAGTACTGATTTTCACCTGTAATTCTTGAGAAGTGGCCAGGTGGAGTGTTTCTGGATTTAATAGCTGAGCTGGAAAGGAGGAGCAGATGGCTGCCAGGTTCACAGCCCCTGTCCTCTCCCTCATGTCCTCAGGTCAGAGCTACAACAGCTCTGCCAGCAGGACCAGCCTGGCACTGGGAATTGTTTGCTATCCACACACCTGCATCCCGCAGCCACCTTTCTGGTTTCCATCAGTAGTCGTCCCCATGTCCCCTTGGGATGCCCATCCCTTGTCTGCCACAGCCCTGCTCTCAGGCTTGGCACCCAGCAGGACGTTCCAAGGAGCCCCTGCTCTGTGCACCCACCTGTCGATGCGGAGGTGGCACACAATTCCCAGGATATCCACCTCGCCCTTGGCCTGCAGCTGCTGGCACCCGATCCTGGTGGCAATGAAGGAGCCGGTGCGGCCAATGCCAGCACTGCAGGACAGACAGACACAGCCGTGTGAGCTGTGACAGCACCCACTGCCACACCTGCATCCTGCTGAGCTCCATGCACTCCTGGACTGGTTTGCTGTGATTCCTTCCTAGAGGGATTCTGGGCTTCTGGCCCCAGCTGCCAAACCAAGCTTCTTAGCCATGGGCTGGGGTCACTGTGCCATGGCAAGGAGTCCTTGCCTTGTTGCACAGCCTGGCTGAGGCTGCTCTGGAAGCACAAAACCAGTCTGTGCCCATTCTTGTGCAGTCCAGGGGGCTCTGCAGCCCGGTCCCCTCCCAGCTGGGCTCTGACCCCAGCGGTTTGCACTCAGCCTGCAGCAGTGCATGCTGTATGTTCCATAGGGACAACCAAGTGTTCTGCTCCACTGTCCCCAGATTCACTCAGCAAGGAGAGAAAACAGACAGAGGCCACCTCCTGCAGGAGGGCTGTCCTGAAACATGGCTCCACATCCACAGGCCATGCTTGGTGGCACAGGGACAGGAATCATGGAATTACAGAATGGGTCAGGTTCAAAGGGACCCAACCATGGGGTCACCTGGCTCCATCTCCCTGCTCAAGCAGGATCTTCCAGAGCTGGAGCTGTGGGTGTATGGTGAAGCTGGTGGCTGGGTCCCAAATGCAGACCCTTCCTGCTCCCACCCTGCTGGACCCAGGTGTAGGATACACCACCATCCTGCTGCCAGGACAGGAGCTGCTGATTGACCACTCTGCTGTGGGGTGGCCGTGTCTGGGATTTCTGCACCACAGTGGATGAGGATTCATGTGGGATTTTCCCCTCAGGTATTTGCAGACTGCCCCCAAGGAGAATCACAGACAGGGCTCAGGTGAGGTGCACTCTTACCTGCAGTGCACCACGATGGGCCCTGGGCTGGCTGCAGTCTGCAGAGCCTCGTCCACCTTGGACACCAGGTGCAGCAGGGGCTTGGCTGACTCGGGTGTTTGCTGGTCAGGCCAGGAAGGGAACAGGATGTGTTTGACTTTGCGGCGTTCCTTTCCAAGCTTTTCCAGCACAGAACAAAGAGAAATAGGGATGTGAGAACACGGGCCAAATGAAACAGGGAGTTCAGCTCAAGCAGCCTGTACCCATCTCAGCCACTCTCCTCCTGAATCCCACTTTGAGCCATGAGGGAGAGACCCCTGGGCCAGAGGCAATGGATGTGTCCCATCCCAGAAGATGAGAACAGATGCAGAGTGTTCCAATTCTGTCACCAGAGTCCAGGCAAAGCAAGGCAAAATCCTTTAGGCTGGTGTCAGCCCAGGGTGACTACAGAGAGCCCATGGGGCAGAGCCCAGTGTCACAGTGCACAAACACTGGGCTGGTGGTGCTGCTCTGCCCAGCTGGCCCCTTCTCCTCTGTACCCCAGGGCTGGGTCCTGCTCCCTCCCAGCCTCTCCAGGCAGGAGGGGCTCTGCAGACCCTGAGAATCATGAATCCTCCTCTTTCCTGTCACACATCATTGCCATCTCACCAGAGATCTCAGGGGTGGCAGGGGCACTGCCGGCCCCAATGTGCTCCCTCCTGACCCCAGGATGAGGCTCAGACCCACCTGGATGGAGAGATCCCGCACCACGTACTCCACAGACTCGCTCACCCCCTGCACACGGATGGTGAAGGGGCCATAGGTGCCCTCCTTCTCGGGCCAGTAGTGGACACATTTCTGGAGAACAAGGCAGGTTTGTGGCTGTGGAGATGCTCAAGGCACCCACTGAACGTTTGAGCTGTGCTTGAGTCAGTGCTCTTGGGAGGGGGCATCACCTTTGGGGTGGTGGGGAGCAGGGAAGGTGGATTAGAGTGATAGAGATGGGAAGCAAAGGAGGGATAGATCCCTACCCCTGCATCTGCTGCCCTGCACCCTCTCCCATGCCCTGCCTTGGCTTTCAGGCCCCAGGGATGCATATCCCTGCTCAGCCCAGGAAGCTTCCAGATGCAGCAGGACCCAGGGAGGCTGTCAGCTGGGAGAGAAGGGAGCAAGGACATGGCCAGGAAAGAGAGTTTCCAGTTCTCAATTCCCCCAAGCAGGTGCTGTTGGCTTCCATCCCAGAAGCAGAAGCAGTGGGCAGCAGTGCCCCTCTGGCTCCCCAGAGCTCTCCCCTGGGCTGGATCCCCTGGCTGAGAGCTCTCAGTGCCAGAGGGGCACAAGTGCCCACTGCTTCTGCCCCACCCCTGGGGTTTGCCCTAAACCCTTTATCCTATTATCCAGTAGGTAAAGTGTGCCCATAGCACACAACCATGTGAGAGGGAAAACCTTTGCCAGAACAGGGCCAAGGCTGCAGCCTTGGAGATCTCCTCCACTTGTGATTCATCAGGGAATCCTCTGAGATGAAAGCACAATAAGTGGGTCCACAGACCCCACATCTGGCCTTGCACAACCCTCCCCTGTCATCAGTACCCCACTCCCCGCTGTGTCCCTGGGTCTGGGCCTGGGGAGGGTCAGTGGTACCTGGGCAGGGTCAGTGGTACCTGGGCAGTGTCAGTGGTACCTGGGGGGGGGGGTCACTGGTACCTCCTTGCTCTCCTGGAGCTCGGTGATCATGACGATGAGAGGAGCCTCCTCCTGCCATACCATCTCCCAGAAGTCAGTCACGGTGTTCAGCATGGGTCCCTGGGTGGCAATGTACTCCCGGGGCCGTCCTGCATAGCCCTGTGAGCACACACCCATCAGCGACCCTGGGGGGACCCTGAGGGCACTGGGGACTGTCCCCAGGTCACTCCAGCCCTCACGAGGCTTTTCTCCTTTATGGTTTAGAGGCTGAGCCACACATGCTGTTTCCTACTAAACCTGTCCTCATAATGCTGTTATAGATCTGCTGAGAAGCCACCAGGCACCCTCCCCATCCTGCTAGTGCCATCATCCCATCCCATCATTGGCCTTGTACACCCAAGTTCCTGCAAGCATCTCCAGGCTCTCAGTGTGACAACAGCCAGTGTGATGGATGCCTTGGCGAGGCAAAGCTCACATTAGGAGCTGCACTCCTCACTGTGGGCATTTCCACAAGGACAAGCAGCAATCCCTGTCTCACAGCTCCAAGCATCCTCTGTCTCCAGACACTTCTAGTATAAAATTGCCAAAGGTATTGAAAATCCAGGCCTTCCCAACAATCCGTTAATGATTTGGTCTCACAAGAAGTTGCATTGGCCCAGCTAAGGGACAGGAATGTTTTCAGGAATATTTTGCAGATCTCTATTTTCATGCCTTGAGATTATTCATTTTTCCTAGGAAATATGATTTTCCATTCAGGATACCTGGAGGTGTCAACCCTGGGAATTCCACCTTTCCCCCACACCCATGCTAAAAACATTTCATGGAACACCCTCAGCAGGAAGAGCATCAATCCCAGGTGGGGCTGATGTGATCAAACACCTGCAGAGCCCTCCCAGATTCCTGTGCCTCCCAGGCATGCCCAGGCAGGCTGGGCTGCCAATTTTCTGATGTGCCCACAAATTCCTGCACTGCTACACTTTTGGAGAGGTAAGGGGAAGGAAGGGGTCAGGAAACAGCAGCTGCACTCAGGGGTGTCTGGACACAGGTGTGTGTGCCACAAGGATGGGCAGTGCTGCTGCATTGTCAGGTGAGACAGAGGGGATGCCACCACACCCCGGGGTGTAGGGACAGAGTGCCAGCGTCACCTGATGTGCAGCTGCACGCTGTCCTGGGAGGACACAGCTCCTCTGCTGCCCATGGTCAAACTGCCCTTGGAGCTCCCAGCAGCTCTGGGCACGGTGCTCCTGTCTCCAAGGAGCTCTGACCCTCCCTGCTGGGTGCTGGATGCTGCTGCCTCGGTGGATCTCAGCCACAAGCACCATCAGAAAAGAAATGTTCCTTCCAGCTCCACCCTGCTCCCTCCCAGCACCTCCCAGGGGTTTGTCTGTCACCTCAGACACCATTTTTTGTGGGCTACTTTTCCAAGTCCTTGCAAGTACTCACAGCATCCATGGCCCCACCACTGCTTCCCAGTGCCCTGGCCAGTGCCAAGGGAAGGGTGCTGCAGTGAGATGGATTGCTCAGCAAAAAGCCTGCCCACTGGGCAAAGCTGGCACCTGGCTCACACGAGATCCCATTCTGAGAGAGACTGCAGCCTGGGAGGGTTTGCACAGGGATGGATAGCAAAGCCAAGCTGTCTAACCCCTTAGGGTCTGGGGATTTCTCAGTCTCTGGAAAGGAACCCCACCTAGTGCCAAAAATAAGCCACACCCCATCTTCATTAGATCTCTTCCTGGAAATTGCAACAAGCTCCCTGAGCAGAGAGGAAATCCCAGGATTTGTGAGGATCTCTGAGCTGCTATAATCTGCTGACTCAGCTTGCCTCCCATGGCTTTGCCAGCCACTGGGCCAGTGTGTGAGGACATGGAGAAGCCACTGCAAGGGAGCCTTTTGGGGTGCTCAATCTGCCCAGCAGCCAAGAGCAGCTCCCTCATGAGACTCTCCCACCAACAGGAGTAGTGGATCTGCCCCATGCAGATGGAGCCACATCCCTCCAGCTCCAAAAAGGATGGCAAGTGAAGTCTGCTGCCCCAGGAGAGCAGGTGACAGTGCCCCAGCAGGTGTGACCCAGTGTGGCACCTGCAGCCTCATCCCTGGTGAGCCCTGTGCTGCAGGCCCTGCAGGACACTCACTGTGATGTAGTTGGCATTGATGTAGCTGTCTTCCTCCTGGCTTCCAGCCCTCCTGAGGCAGACCCGGCTCTCAGGATCTGAAAGATGTCACAGGTGTTACCAAGGGACTGATCCTGCCCGTCCTCCCTGGGCTGGAGGCTGAGTCCTCCTGCTCCATGCCATGCTCAGAGCAGTCTGCACCCTCCCTCAGGTCTGTTCTTGTCCCACTGCAGCCTCACTCCCCTGACAGGGCACAGCCCAAGCCTGCAGGTACCATCGTGAGCAGGGGAGGTGACTGAACTGCAGTGATCCCCCAGCACATCTCCACAGACCCTGACTGGGACCCAGCTGAGTCCTCCCACAACATCCTTTACACTCATAGGGCCACGCTGTTGGCACAAGCAAGGCCCCACCTTACTTGTGTAGGACACCCCAGGGAGCAGCTCCCCATGTACCCCACAGCACTGTGGGCACCCCTGGCACACAGCATCCAGCTCCAGCGTGGCAGGGACAGCAAAAGTACCCAGGGGTGCCCACCCCAGTGCCAGGGCTGCTTGAGTCATCCCTCACCCACAAGCAAACACGGGCAAATGGGAGGCAGAGGGGCACAGTGGCACGTACTGGGGAGAATGGTTTTGTATCTGTCCTTGAGAGCACGTCCAGGGATTTCCAGCTCCTCCGGACTCACGAAGTTGGGTGGGATTTTCTGCAGGAGGAGAAAACAGCCATGAGGAAAAGCCCATTGCTGCCACTCGTGTCCCCTGGTGGTGGCAGACCTGGCTGCCCAGCAGGGCAGAGCTGACCCAGGGGCATCACCAGAGATGCCAGCTCTGGGATGAGTCCTGCCTTTACTCCAGCTGTGGTGGGACTCCTTCCAGAGAGACAGCCCTGGGAGAAGGCCATGGCATGGGAGGGCAGGACAGGGTTTTCCAGGGACCCCAATAAGACATGTGTGCATCAAGGAGCAGATGGCACGTGGGCACCCTCCCCTCTGTTTACCCACAGCTGGGCTCAGAGCCTGATGTTCACCCCTGTCAGTCCCACCACTGCCCCTGCCACCCTCCTGGGAGGAGGGAGAGGGAATCCTCGCACCGAAAACTCCTCCTGGAGCTGTGCCAGGTTCTGGGCCTGCTGCTGGAGCTCCTGTTTCTTCAGCACGTGGCTGGATGTCCTCAGAAACTTCAGGGTGATGTCCCGTGGTGTGCAGACAGGCTGGATGGGCTCCACATTCCCTAGAGAGCTCATGTCCAGCACTAGTGAGACATTGGAGCCCCTCCTGAAAGGCAAAGGGGTCCCTGGCTGACCTGCTGCCACCCTGGGACAGAAGGACAGCCCATCCCACTGTATCATCAGTTAAAACCACCCCACACTGAGCAAAAGCCCGATGGAGCCCCCAGTAGATGGGAGACTGAGGAACAAGGACCTAGCTGATAATTTTGCCTTTTTGCTGGGAAGCCCCTGAAGGACGGTGTGGAGATTTGTCCTGAGCAGGGCGGGGGCTCAGGGCTGGCACCTGCACACGCTGGCAGGCAGAGGGCTGGCAGGAGGGAGTGTTAGGGGAGCTCTGGGTATGAGCAGTGCCACGGGTAGCCTGGCCAGGGCTGAGGCACACTCACCTCTCCTGGAGCCGCACGTGCTTCTTGGCAGAGGGGCTGGGCTTGTCCGCCTTGTCCATGTTGGCTGCAGCTGCCTGGGCTGCCAGGCTGCCCTTATGAACTCTGGAGCACACCAAGCAGGCTTGGACCATGCTGCAGCAACCACAGAGCCCTCGTCCTGAAGCACAGCAGGGGCACACGGGGGGCCCTCAGCTCCTGGGAAATCATGGAGCCATCAGAGGAAAAGCAGCTGGAAAAGAAAAGTCAGATCTGAGAGATACCACAAGGCTGGGTGGAGCCCCTGACAGGTGCTCTGCAAGCAAGGGATGGGTTTCAAGTCCTCAGCTGTCCTCTAACCAGGAGCACCAGCCCCTCTATCCAGGCAGATGGAGAGCTCCCAGCACATTCACCCTTGCTGGGTGGCCTCGTGGGCACCACTGGTGACCCTGGGTATGGCACCAAGGCTTCCCCTGAGGGGACAACACCCATTCTGTGGTGGCAGGGCACAGTCTGGTTTGGGGAAGCCCCAGATGCTCTCCACCTCCATGGAAGCACATGCTCTGTGTTTCCAGCCCTTCACCATCACATCCCCCTGCTTCGTCCTGGGGACATGGTGGGGAAGAGTAAGAGCTGGAACACAGCAGCGTTCAGCAGGTGACACGAGGTGGCTGCAGCCACTGCATGCACTCTGGCCCTCTCCTGCTGCAGGGAGACACAGACCAAGCACCCTCAAGAGCCTCGTGGCTCTGGCAAGGGAGGGATGGCCCTGGGACAGCCTCCTCCTTCCTGCAGGTCACAGCAACTGTCGAGAGGAAACTGCTTTATCTGGGTGGTTGAGCAAAAGGCGATGGGGCAGCCCAGCTGGGGAAGGTGCCAGACATTCTCCATCCCCAGCGATGGGTCAGCCCCTGGCAGGGCTGGGGAGATGCTGATTCACCTCTGGACACAGCTCCTCATGGTGCAGGCAGCACCCTGGGATCCTGAGCCTCCTTCCCATCCCCAGCTTCCTCCATGAGGAGGAGACAGATGCACAGAGACAGGGAATGATGCAGAGCCAGAGCTCAGGGCGGCCAGGGTGGGGTCCCAGGCAGCCCATTTGCTCAGGGAGGTCTCATGGAGAGCCGGGGTCCACATGGTGGCTGGGAACATAGCGAGGGCAGGAGCTGCTCCCCATGAATCCCGGCTGCCCAGCAGCGTTTCTGGGAGTGCCAATGCCACCACTGCCACTCACACCATCCCCGTGCCCCTGCAGGGTGTCCCGGTGCTCTCCATCCCTATCCCAGCAACTGTTTGGCCAGGAAACACTTGGGAGAGGGGCCCAGGGAAGTGCCTCAGCTGCCAGCACCTGCAGGGAGAGCACTCACATCACCTGCCCAGCGCCCCAGCCCTGCCTGGGGATGCCCATCCATGCCCACCACATGCCCACCGCCCCTGGGCGCTGCCCGGGCTCTCCTGTCCAGCGTGGTGGGCTGGGGGCAGCACGGGTGGGCTGGGGGGCTCCTACCTGTGCCCTGTGCCCTGGGCTTGTCGGTGCCGGCCCGCGGGCACCGCGCCTGTCGCTCTGACACCACGGTTTGAAAGTGTTCAGGAAGCTGCTTATCAAAGGAGCTGCTGCCTCTGCTGCTTCCTCTCCCTCCTTCTCCCCCACCCCGGCTGCCGCCCACACACATACCGGCCACATCTCTGCAGCTCGGCTCTGCCGGGCCGCCTGCACACCCAGCCCAGCTCCTCAGCCACCAGCCTCGCTCCTGGGGCACGGCCTGGCCTCCTCATAAACCCTGGGGGTGTCCACTGGCCCCTCCGGTGGGGCTGGTGGGGTGTGCTCGATGCCCTCTGTGACAAGCCATGGCCAGCACTGGTGACACCCATGGGGCACGGAGGGGTGGGCAAGACCCAGCCTTGGGGAGGTGGGGCAGGGAGCTTTGCAGGGCGCTGCTCTGGGCACCACAGCCCAGCTGCCCCGCAGGAAGCCAGAATGGATCCTCCCATGCCCGCTGTTCTGCCCAGGCTGTGCCCCAGCTCTTCCCCATCCCACTGTGCCATGTGCCAGGGCTCGCTCAGTGCCACCTGCCCGTGTGCACTGTGCTCCTGGTGCCACCCCACTGTCCCCCAACCCCTGTCCACGTGGGGACACCCCTCTGCACCCACCACCATCCCTGGGTACCTGAGGGTAAGACGGGTGGGCTCCCCGCCCCCAGCAGGGAAGGGCAGGGCTGTATTTGGGGTGAAGGTCCCTGGGCCTGGCTCAGGTAGGCCAGGTTTGACTTTGGGGCACTGCACATCCTTCCTAACGCATCCCCACTGCTCTTCCTGTTTGCTCTTGCCCGGGCTCTGCACACTTCCTTCCTCCTCACCCCCACCCCAGGGTGCTGAGGAACTCCTGCTGCACCCTAATGGACCCCAAACACCTTTCCCATGTCTGCTCTGCCCAGAGCCACCCCAGCCCAGCTCACTGAGGTGATTGTGCTGTCCCTGGGCTGTGCTGGCACTGTCACTCACCTCGCTGCGTGTCTGTGCACACCTGTGTGTTTGCAGGTGTGCCAGAACAGCTTCCCTGGGAGACCCTGCCAGTGCCACCTTCTACCCAAGGGCTAGGACATCAGAGGGCCCAAGCTCCCGAGCAAAGTGTTAGGCTTGGCCAGCAGCAGAGCAGCTTTATCCTGGAGAAGAGGACACCAGCACCCATGTCTTACCTGGAGATCCTAGAGTGGCCAGAGGATAGACTGAGGAAATGCTCCCTGCCCTACATGGGATGAAAGAACACATCTGTAAGGTCTAGGTGTGCAGCCCCACTGTCCTTCCTTCCCACCTGTCCGTGGCAGAACTCAGGAATTCCTGGGATGACCAGCACTGCAGGACTTAACAAGGTGTCTGCATAAACTTGCTCCCAGTAGGAACCAGAGTAAACAAGGAGGGCTCTGTGCTGGAGTAACAGGCTGCCAGACACACAGAAACTTCCTGAGGCTGGGACTGTACCTGCCCTCTAAGTGTGTGGGACACCTGTCCCATGGGGGTGTCTTTGAGCTTAAGGGGTTCCTGAGGATAGAGCCAAGATGCAAACCCCCGGAGCTGCTTTTCCTGCCTTTTGCTGGCCTGACCTTGCTGCCTCCTCACTGTCCTGTTCCTCTGCCACTGGTGGACAAGCGAGGGACAAGCTCAGTGTGGCATTGGGGCAGATACCACAGGGCCACCAGCACATGCAAGTCACCGGGAATGTGTCAGTGACATCTGTGCACCCACACTCCCTCCCAGCCTCCCCAGCTACCTGTGACAGGTAGCTACCTGTGACAGGGAGGATGGAGACAGCTGGGCTCTCACAGACATCACAGGGCCCAGGGAACATCCACGAATCTGCCAGCACCCCAAAGGAGCAAAGCAATGGGGCTGTGACAGCTGGGCTGTCCAGGGTCCCTTGCTGGACCCAGGAGGCACCACAGCACATCCTGATCCTCTGCACAGTGAGCAGGAGACCCAGGACAGCACTGGCCTTTGGGAGCTGGATTTTGGCTGGTTTTCCCCAAAGGGAATGGGAACCTTTTACTAACACATGATTTGATGCAAGACACAAACTCCAGCTGCAAAAGGAGTATGGCACAAAGGCTTCTATGGAGGCCAGGAGCTCCCTGTGTGCTGCTCATTTCAGTGATCTGTGGCCCAGTCTAATCTAAGACATTTGATGGCATTTCAAAGGATTTCAGCAGTAAGTCTCTTCCTTCTCCTGCCAGATTCTGCCTTGTTCATTAAATACCCCTGGATGCTGCAGGAAAGATGCTGATGCACTTCCTTTGGAAAATGGCTTATTTGGTTCCACTCGAATTTGGTCATGACAAAGGATCCCACTCAGGGTAAAAGGAGGAAGCTGAGATGCTGGGATGCAGTGTATCCTCTCCCTCTGCAGCATCACAACACCAAGGTACTCATGCTCAGGGATGTCCCCAGAAAAGCCTTGCAGCACTTTCCCTCTGCTGCTCACAGACCTCCCTGTGCCGCTCGCTTGGCTTGGCCTGTCATGCACCTGCCTATGCTGGCTGCAGTTAAGCAGGACACCCAGGATATAGTCCTGGAAACTAAACCTGCCCCCCTTGGGTTTCTCCTTATGCATAAAACTCCGATGGACACTGAAGGGACTGTCCTGGCCATGGTGACTCACCCAGGGTAGGAGGAACACAGTAGGGATGTTGTGTATGGATGTGCCATGGCCCAAGCTCCTAGGGGCAGAAATGTTTGTACTGCTGAGATGTCCTGACCCTTACATACCTCTGATGATGCACAACTGGACCCCAGCGTGCTCCCACCTGCCAGCACGGCTGCTCTGCCTCCCTTCTGCCAAAGCACCAGCAAGCTGAGGAGGTGCATTTGAAGGGAAAGCAGGGGAGAGGACACAGACCTGTGGAGACCCACAGCATGAAAACGAAGGTGCTGGTGGAGAATGAGGCATGAGCTCATAGAGATAGACTGGATGTGAGGGAGACCAGGAGCAGGGGGAGTCAGAACACACTGTTTGACCCAGGGCATTTTTCAGCTCTCAGTGCCACCCAGGCAGCAAGCTGTCCCCTGTACCTTGTGCACTCACCTACATCTGCTGCCCTCCTGGGAATCGGCCCTGCCCTCTCCTGCCCGCTGGGGTACCTGGTGAGTGCACACCCACACATGCAGAGATGTCCCTGGTCACTCATCAGTGCCCATCCATGCTGAGGTGCAGAGACCTCGAGCAGGGAAGTCCAGGGAATGCCCCCCCTCCCTCCCTTCCCCGAGTGCACCTTTGAGCACATCACTCCTGGCCACCTCTCAGCCCCTGCTTGGAACACGATGCTGCCAGCTGGTTCCTCCTGAGGGACACTGGCTGGGTTCACAGAGGGGTGCAGTGGAGAGCAAAGAGCTGGGAGATGCTCTGGCCAGGCACCGTGCCTTTTGTGTGCAGCTGTGTTGTCTCATGTCACATCACCAGCTCTGCACCAGCTGCCTCAGGCTGGCCTGGGAAGCAGAGCTGCTGGATCCTACAGGCAGGGACTGCTGGGGCCAGGGTGCTGCTTTGAGGGGAGACGATGTCCAGTCTGGGGGCACATCCCAACCAGGGTCAGTTTTCTGTAAGGACAGGACCAGGACACCAGGACAGCCACTGCAATCTGGTGTGAGCCTGACAGTCTCTGGGGGCAAAACCCAGGAGGGGATGGGAGGAAGCAACACTGAAGGAAATGGCTCCGGGCAGGTCACTGCTGTGCCCTCACCTTCCTGCCTGCCTCCCCTGCTGGGGGAGGACTGGTGAGCTCCCAGAACAGGAACACCTCTTGTCCCCCATAGTTTCTTTCTGCTCTGACCTTGGTGGCAGTGGGGTGTCAGGGGTGATGGTGATGCCCAGAGTGGTGCTGGGGGGGTGGGTGATAGAGGGATGCACATGGAGGGAAGAGTCCCAGCTGTTACCACACCAGCCATTCACCCTGGCCCGACTGGATACATGCCAGACGTGGGATCCCCTGTGTCCTGTGTTCGTGGACATCTGTGCATTAGGATTATCTGTTGGAATACAAGGACTAGAGAGGTCTGTGACAGAGTCTCAAGGACCTTGAAGGGTCCTTATAGGTGTGGCTTTACTTTCAGCAAGATATGGGGTCCCTATGGAGTTGATGCTCTGGAGAGGAAAATCTGGATTTATCCCTGACTGGTACTGGTTGTTTATTCACCTGCATTTTAAAACTCCACTTCCATGGGGTCATCTTGCACCTCTGGCCATGATTTCATAGCCAGTTCCCTCTGTGCAAAGAGCATCTTCCAGCTCCAGACTGGGACCTGCTTACCCACTTCTGACCAGCCAACCCGTTCTGCCAGCCAGCCCATTTCTGCCCCCCAGCCTCCTGAGCATGGGCTCCCTCACGCTGCCTCCCTGCCCTGATGCACACCCCAGCAGCTCTCCTCACCCTCTCCACACTGCACTGTAGCCCCAAAGCCACCTCAGGCTGGGCAGGCACTGAGCTGGCACCCAAAGCACAGACGCTGCCCCATAGTTTCATTTCATTCCCCAGCATTGCCAGCCACGGCAGGGCTTTGTCCCATCAGTCCCCGTCACCTCTGGGTCCGGCACTCAGGAAGGGATGGTTCTTCTTCCGTAGACACGCCTGGGAGTCAGGATGTCCTGCAGGCTTTTGGAAATTAGCCCATGTCCTCCGCTGCCTGAACATCGCTCGCAGGCTGGAAGGTGCAGCAGCTGCCTGGGGACTGAGCAGACTCTGTGCACAGCGGCAGGGCACGGCAGGACGGTGCGGTCAT